TCTTTCCCTTTAGAAACTTATCTCAAGCCTCATTAAGCTAGTGAAATGAATGCTAAATTATTTGAAAATGTCTTGCATGTCTGGTCTTTCTAGCACCTAAACCACTAAAATACCTCAAAAAATATGAAGAACAAGTCAACAATAATGTGTGTCAAATGTGCCAAATGACTCAATTAGCTGAACAAAATGGCCTAATTCCACATAAGTATGCAAAAATGCTTTCAAGAATTTTTGTAACAATTATTAAAAATATAATGTACATACAGTATGATTCAAATAAGACTATTTTTAATAGAACCTAAACTAATATGAGTGACTCTGGATTTGTTGCTCCATTGTAATAGGCACTGCTCTTCCAAATGAAAATAACTAGAGGAAAAATCCAGTAACTCCAGAGAAAAAGCAGAAGATGGGGGTATTAAATATGCCACTAGTCCCATATCAGGTGTCAGAGAGACAACTGAAGGCCAGAAAACTTTTTGTGCATGGTTGAACCTACCCCAGCTGGCTCTAACCACCCAGCTTGCTTATGCTCTGAGTCTGTAACACTCTGACTTCCTGTTTCACCCTCATCTGAAAAGATGAGTTGTCCTTAGAGAACAGCCATACAGCTGATTATGGAACTGAAGTAAACACTGCAGAAGAGTAATTTTACAGTCTCTTTGCACCAGATACAGACTGCCAGCTCTCATATGCTGTTCCTGAGATTGATCTGGTCCCATCTTACATTACTCTGCAGCCTCTATTCTGCTTTGTTATCAGACTGACCAGCTGCATCTGATCTGTGATCTGATCAGGCTGCTTGGCTCATGCAGATCAAGCCCTGTTAGTACACGTCCCAGAGAGCCCCAGTTCTGAATTTATAATATACTGGATTTTTAAAAAAATATTAAATTAATTACAGAACTTTTAAATCTTTATAGCATATAAAAGTAATCTAACAGAAACTGCCAATACATCTTTCCAGTCTGGTATGGTAACACTAATGCTGATAATTACCACAAATTTTTATTATTTTTTTTTTAAAGCTTTTCTTAACAACATCAACTGACACATTTTCTCTTTAGCATTTCCAAGACCTTGAGATCAGGCTCCCTGTGGGCCGTACCTCTCAAATACATGCTTTGAGTAAGTACGCCTCTTAGAAGTCTACATTCATACTCGTTTAACTACACAACACTATTTAAGATCATGATTACATTCCAGTCAAATTATCTTGCCTCCAGCCAGTCTACAATTTGAATATGGTCCCACACATTTCACACATGGAAAATCCTGCAACTTTCCCATGTTTGACAAACCACAGTGTAGCAAAGGGACTAGAAAAAAAAAGTAAGAGGAGTAACAATCATCTGTCTGGTTGTAAGAATGTTTGATTTTTTACATTTTTAATATCCAGCATTAAATAGTTTTTTTCATATTCTTAAATTCAATTATAAGCAGAGCAGCAATATAAATTCAAAATGAAATGTGCAAATAATTTATTCCTATCAGAATAATTGCATCAATGATAAACCATGAAACGTAAGGCCAGTATTTTACTGAATTGTAAAATCCAAACAGTTTCTTCCCAACTCGGTGTGATTTTAAATATTTTAGATACATACTCCATAAGGACATAAAAATTACTCCAGTTAACCACTCTTCGAAATATACAGACAGATGGATACAGATATAAAAAAAGTAACACAAATACATTTAAGAAAATCAGAATTATCTTGATCGTTAGATTGTTAAGAGAAGTCTAACGAGAAAATCCATAACTGCTGAAAACAAAAAGGAAACTATCACCTCTTCAATAATACCAGTATAATAATTAGTTAAATTAATTAAATGGACCATATTGGAAAATAGTTAACAAGTATTAAACCTAATATTTAGGGTCCTTGCTCTCCATCAATTTTAAAGTGACAGATGATAGCTGAAGTTCATGCTATTACACAGTGTAACCACTGTATTTGCTACATGTGGCCTTATGTGGTTCAAACACACAAGTACCTACATGAAAACAGTTTTACAACCTGGCAAAGCAGAATATGGGACACAACATAACCTGTACTAAGGAAACCAAAGGAGTTCATACAAAAATATAACCTTTACATAATGAGTTCTGTAAAAGCAAAGATACTAATAGACCAGAAGTCATTATCTGTGTTACAAAAGGACCTAAAATCCCCTACTAAGAGGAGAAAAGCACTGTTCTAACACTACATACACAGGAAAAGGAATTAAGTTGTCTTTTTCTACCTTTTCTCTGGAAACACCAAGGCTAACTACAACTGCTGAAAACATTAAGCTTTCCTACATGGCCACCTTTATTCAGACAGTTGGACAGCACGGGTATGTTCCACACTTGCTCTTCCATCCTCAGATCCATTGCATCATTTCACTCCTCCATATGGTAACATATAAACTCATGCTGTTGGACAACTGCACACTCCACAACGGGTAGCTTGTCAGAAAATCCCACTCCATGTATCTGTTCCAGTCACTCACACTCTCTTCCCTTCCTAATATTAATTAATCCATGTAAAAGAAAAACTGGGTAGATTATTTCTTTCCTTGGTTGTATGAGATTAATCTCTTCTGAGTAACATTTAGGTCTTTTCTGCCTTGAGCTCAAGTAAGTTGAAGTAACACTCAAGTGAATAAGGATAAGGTAAAAAGGGAAAGAAAAAATTACCTGAAGTTTTTTATAGCTGACTTTTTGTGTGAGTAGGTGTAGCTGCACTGATATAGAAAGGAGTACTCAATGTCAAGCTATAAATAGCTCCTGCTGGGAGCCTAACAGCTCTGCCTCTGCTTTCACCGAGCACAGGCAATAAACTATCACTATTACATTTTCACAATTCAGGAACAAACAGATTTAAGCAAAAAAATATTTCTATTTCTACAGCAAATCCAATAAAAGAAACATATTTATGCTATATATAAAGATGTGTTTATAGAGTATACTCACATTTGAAATAAAAATACCAGAAATAGGGAAAACGTAGTGCTTTATTCACTTCAAAATTTTGCTTCCAAGAGAAAAGGCATGATTCAAAACATACAGCTATTCATTAAGACATTTTATTTATGAAAGAATTCTTATTTATGACTTGAAGAATATTTATACTGTCTGTTAGGTATCTGCTCCCAGTGTAAATCTAACATAAAATTCAGGTTTGCAGAAGACATGATAAATTCACTTGAGATTCTCTTGGAGACAAGAGGGGAAAAAAATACAATTTGTTTTTTATGAAAACACAAACCATACAGACCAAAACATACAAAACCAAAAAAGTGGTAGCTGCTTTCAGCGTTTTACAAGCCATGTTTTCACTATGATTGCACAGATCACTTCTTAGTCATTGTAAGGCCACTAAGCTGGTTTAGTTTTCTATAGTCTAGCTATTCCTATAGGATTTCAGTTGCAGTACAGAATTTCTGGATGCCTCTTAAAGGCAGCTAGAAACTAGTCACAGCACCCAGCACTACTGCCCTGCCCGGTAATCAGAGGCAACAGGGAGCTGTAAGCAAGAAACTATTGGAACATAGTTTCTAAATAAAATAATGGAACAGAACATGAATGATTTGGAACTATTAACAGTACTTAATTCACAGCATTTCCTTACCTAAAATCCTTATGAAAAGAAACTTCTGTGTTAGTACATAAATATAGCAAAATCAGGCCTGTGTCATGTGGAGAATTAAGGACAAGTCAAGATGTACAGGTACCAGCCTTAGACCAACTGAACGTTTGTGCAGTTCTACCCCACATAAAGCATATATTCTGTGAGAGGCAGAGAAGAAACTTAGCTCTGTATGTAGATGTATACTTTAAATGACAGTATTTTTTTCTTTCTGTGGCCATGCACAGTATTTATAACTTAACTAGAAGCTGTGATTCTCCAGAGAATGTTGTAAACAAACAATTAAACACTATCATAGCACAAAGGCCTAACAGAGCCAAATAAAGAAGAGTAGAGACCCCTGGATTACCTCTGAGTGCCCAAGCTCATGCTTTAGGTGTGGAAGCAGTGTGACCACAGTAACACAGCACAGTACTCTCTGAGCTTTTGTGGGCAAAATTCTACTGTATTAGTCACACTTGAGAAAAACAAATATGAATACTATACAAGATAGCACAGGACCTCAGTTTAGCTTTCTGTTAGGAAATCATGCTTACTCATAATCACATTTGGCCAAGAAATGGTCACATCATACTACCTTTCCAGATTGAGAACTGAAATTCAAGGGCTTCCTAGACAGAAACTGGATTTTACTACACAAAGCAGTTTTGCAAGAAGATTTTGTAAACAGCTGACTTCAAGAAAGTACTCCTTGCTAAAAAAGCTTACCTTTCTCTCTTTCAGTAACTGTTTGTAGCCACTGGTACCTAGAGACAGAAGTGTAATGAGGACATCTAAGGAAGGAGATGCAGATGCTCTTCCTGAAAAAAAAGACAAAACCCAACACGATTAAAATGGCAAATTTATGTGAAAGAAAGTTGATAATCAAGTTTTCTACAGTTATTTCGTATGGATGAAATGTAGTTAATGAACTAGTTACCTGGATACATTTTGCTGATCTCCTGAATGAAGGACTCATTGAAGCCAGCAATGATAGCACCACCTACTGGAACCATAAAGTTTTTGTCCAAGCTCTGAACAAAAGCATCTATTCTGCCAACTCGAGCACCCTTTATCAAAAAGGATAAATAAAAACAAAATCCAAAGCATACATTAGGAAAAAGGAAACACGTGATAGCCTCATAATTACACAGCAATATATATGAAATAAATACAATTCCTGAAACTCTGTCAGATACTGTATTTGTGATGGAAAGTTAAAAATACTTGTATTTTTTCTTAGCATTGATCAGTATTATTACTATTGTCTGCTTACATAGCGCCTTTCAAATTCCTATTTAGCTGTGATTTAAAATAGTGATCTTAGTTCCTGCAAGTCTAACTGCATCTTATTTTCAACAACAGCCAAAAAGAAAAAACCCTTGAAATTTCATGGAAATCATACAGTTAAAACTGCACAACCCAAAACATTTAAAAGATTCTCACAGTAAAGGGCTAGAGGTTAATGCTTCATTAGTAAACATTTTTCTCGATACACATATAAATTTGCATTAAAAAAGAGTACTGTGGTGGCATTCATTATAAGGCTGCTTGCCTTATAGCTTCCTACAACAGATTTCCCTACTTCCCAGAGAACAAAAAGTCCTTATACCTAGTCACTCAGATATTCTTAGAGGAAAAAAAATGTAGAATCTGCAGTACATTTTCAATTTGAGTAATATGGTACTGTGAACTGTACAATTAAAAAGTATGCAGCATAACAGAGCCTGAAAAGTATATAAAAGAACATATATATTAAAATACACAAATAGATACATATTAAAGTACAACAAAATCAAACCAAGAAATGGAAGAGTTAATAGCTACAACAGAAAAAAAGTGAAAAATGCAGATCCAGCTAAACCAGTTATTACTTCTATGTTTTAATAGCTTAGTTCATGGGAGATAGGAAGAAGCACTCTGAGTTGGTAATTTTTTTTATGGGAAGATGAAGGCCAGCAGCTATAATTTGACTTAATTGACAGGAGACCATCAGAGGAAAAGCAAGAAAAATTAAAGTCTCAAAAGCTCTTTTCTGTGATACTCTTTTCAAGCTCTGTTCACTCTGTGCTCAGCATGTACACATTCCTAAGTATTCACTAATAACTATTTCTTCACAGACAGTACATTTTCTATTCTAGGAAATACATTTTTGTAAAAAAATTTAAAGCAGAGCTCAAATGTATAAATTTGCCTAACTAAAGAAACAAAAAGACCCAGACAATCTATCAAGAAAGCCAAGAAAAAACACAGAAACCAATACAATAACAGTTCTATTTGTGGCTTTGTAGTCTCAAAAGATTACAATCAGATAGATTTCATGCAGTAAAACTCAGCAATTGCACAGCCCCCTTTATTTTAGAATTTCACTAAACTGTGCAAGTGAAATACAATAAACACATACCAAGTGCATTCCAAATAGAGCATATGCCATTTCCTATTTCACATATCACTGAGGTTTTTTTAAAATTCCTTCAGTTTCTCAAGATCTAGAAAAGTTGACATGATGTTCCTGTCATAATTCTGTATCAAACTGGGCAGTGCCCAGTTAATCATTTAAGTGTTTATATAGATAAAAAATAACCAGTGTATTTTAAATTCACACTAGTTCAGGATTCCCTTGATCCTGTTAAAAAAATATCCCCATATATTTTTTTATATGGACAACAGAGAGAAAAGAAAGACCGTAAACAAATAGTGCATGTACACTTTAATGAGAAAAAATGTAAGAAATTAAACCTTTTTAACATAACCTTTTGAACTTAACCCAGTTGCCTCAGCTGTTCCCTGTGCCAACAATATTATAACAGTGACAGCTTCTACGAAATGTTGCTGTAGAATCTTATGCCTTCAATGGAAAATCTGTAACTCACATTGTGGTTGAAGGCCTAAACCCTATTCAAGTGAAATCTATTATTTTACTTTTAGTCAACCAGTTCAGGAAGTATTTTAAGAAAGCTTATTAAGGACATTTTTCCATTATGAAAGAGACTTGAACATAAACAAAACCTAATCAGGGTTATTACATAAAAAGCACATAATGGAAATAACAAATATTATTTTAAAATTCTATTTCCCTCTGCCCCGCTTTGTCAGAAAATTGTTCAAATATCTGACACGCACAGGATTAGACTCATAGCTGTGAGACGTGATAAAATTTGCTAGTGTTTGCTCCAATCAGACATTTACTTATACTTGTTAAAAAATAAACTATTATTTTAAATGCACAGTTCCTACCTGCTGGATAAGATGCATACACTTTGAAGACTGAACGCCATACGCATTGTTGACAATATGGGGAATGTCATAATTAGCACAAATCACAGCCAGTTCCTCCAGTCTATGAGCATAAAATTGTAATTTAGAGAAGCACTGGTAACTGTAACTCATGTTACAAATCAGACCACTAAAAGACTGAAAGGTCTACAAGGAGGTCAGAATAAGAAAAGAAACCTTTTAGATTAGCACCTCCAGGCAACACTTGTCACCTTAAGATAAAAAGGTTAAGAGGAAAAATCTGTTTGTTTTTATATATACTACAAATTCTTGACCTGAGCTGAAATTTGTCATGCTTCACTGAAAGTTTTGTCTCAAAGACAGTAAATAGATCCCAAATTACTGTTTCAGATAATAGAATTTTTTATACTATTTTAATGATAACTAACAGAGCTTTAGCTATTCCCACTTTTTTGCCTTTTCTTCTAATATTAAGCCTAAAAATGGCCTAATGGAAGTTTCAAGATGTGTCTTGTGTCTTGTAACAGTAAGTCTTTGCACACCACTGTTATTTCAAAGAACTAGTATTTCAATGCTTTGGCTAAAACCTCACTTGTATATTTCAAGATTAACAGAAAATATATTCTTCAAAGGAATGGAAAGCCCTAAAAAGTCTGAATGTGGAAATCAACAAATTAAAACTTCATTCATCTATTTACTCAGAAGTAAATGCAACTCTTCACTTGCCTTTAGAAATCCCTCAAATCACAGTGAGCTCAGCCTGGATTTATTTCTCAGTCAAAGTAGGATTTATGAGGGTGCCTAGGTCACTTTGGGTAAGGGCCTTCGGCATTTTAAATGTACATGTTTAAGTACCCTTTTTTAAAGCACTCCAACCATGATCTATTTTGTTTTTAGAAAGTTCTTGACTTCCCCCAAATTTGTAAATCTATTTTAGAAACAAAATCTATTTGAAAAAAGAATGTAATATACAAATTGAAGTTATGATAAGGTAGTGTTTTTTTTTTTAAATCAGGAAACTCTAAATATTCTATACATTCTTACTCTTACCTTCAGTACAGCCTCTACACTGTAATTTACTGACATTCATATAAAATGTGACAGAGTACAAAAATGTTTTCCAAGAGGTGACATTCCTTTGCATTCTACTTCTATTACATTGCCTAGTGTTGTTTTGTAATGCAAAATTCAGCTGCAAATCTCTGACTAAATTTTCTATACCTCAGTTCTTCAGAAAACATCATGATCACTGTATCATCCCTAAAGAAATCACATGTATTTAATGACTAGGAAACACCAGTACTATAATGTTCTTATTGATCTTTTACAGCCAAGATACTCAGCAGGAGATGCATGTCCAGTAATTTTTCTCATTTATCAACATTCTGAATCCTGAACTACATAACGTTAACAGAATACTTCAGAAAACTTAACACTACAAAGGGTAAAGATTTTGCCTTGTGATCTGCCGAACTTAATCAATTTCTTAATTTCCACAGAGACTCAAAGGAAAACAGTTCCCCTCTTACATGCTTCTTTTCAAGTTCAGGTATAGAATTTTATCAAACTGGAAACATGGAGGGTGTATTGCTATGTCTGTTTGCCTTTCTCACCTCCTGAGACTTAAAGGAGCAATATGCTAGCTTCCACAAGTACTGAAAACAGAGAAGTCCCTTTGCTTTTCCTAAAAATACTCTTGCACAATTTGATCCATATTACAATACAGGATGAGAGTGCTACACTGTTAAAAGAATATGTGATTATGCAAGGGAAGCAAGCAATTATGCACACCACTTGTCTGCTTCCAAGGCTTAAAATGAACCATTGGAAGAGCTGCTAGTCACATTAGAAAAATAAAATATTAATCTAAGTTTGGCTACTACTTGAGTTCTTAAAAGTCACAAACAGGACTTACAGAAATATTTTCCAGCTCATTCTTTCTCTCCTGCTAGTGAGAGTTCATAAAAAAGCAAGCTTGTTCTTCCTTCCAATATTAATGAAAGTAACAAGATGCAGTGTTCTACTGAGCATAAAAACTGAAAAAGACACTTATTTTTACCTTTAGTTCTCTTGCATACAGTAATTTTATAGACAACTCACAACAACAGCAGGTAAAAGACTGTCTCAGAACTGATGTCTCCACGGAAGGGGGTATATCCAACAGTGCATTATTCCCATCAAGTTAAGTAATATTTCAGAGGAAAGCTATAGGTACACAGGCATGAAACTCTTACCCTGGTCTTTTAACAACCCTAAGCCGCTTAAAATTTTCAAACACCACCACTACAAGCAAGCAAAGCCTCACAAATGCAAGATATTAAAAACCAGACATTTAAAATGGTATCCTCCAGATATGCCGTACAGGCTATTCCTTCCTGTAGGAAGATGAATGTTATGGCCTTTCATAGTTGACGGTATCCTTTAAATAGAAAGCACGTTCAAATCCTCCTGTATCTGTGATATATCATAACACAGTGCCACTACCAAATAATTCATCTCTTAGTTGCAGAGAACAAAACAATCGCATGTCAAGTAGAGGAAGCAGATAAGGAAAAGATTAATTTACCCAAGCTATAAGACAGACCACTCGACTTTGATAGCTGTGATTTAAGTTAGCCAATAAATCTGCAAGTCAACTTCATGCAATGTTCATAGTATTCTGACAGAATACTGTGGTTTCAGCTTCCCTCCAGCAATGGGGTTAATCCATGATAAATACTAGCTTTTTCAAAATGTAGGAAAAGAGAGCTAAACGTATCTTTACTTGCCATGTTCCAGAGTCAATAATGTTTCTTTCATACACTTGCAAATATGAAACTAAGTTTTCCAGATACAGTAATTAACAAAAAAAGCATGCACTGCAGAGCAACTCTAAAACATAAGCCTTTGCAATTTTGTGATAAATTAAAAACAACTGAAGTGAAACAACTGAGACACTACATTTAAAACCATGTAAAAAAGAGACGTCTTACTAATACTTCATACTTCAGTGTACTACATACAAGCCCATAAAAAGATACCTGTTCAACTGTAAAACCTAATTAATTGGCTTCCTGACATTTATTTTCATAAGGAATCAGAGAAAGGTTTTCCAAGTAGCAATGGTGCTCATTTTGGACAAATTACTCAATACAGAGTCCTTTAGCCACCTCTACTCCAACATGTCTTTTTCAGATTGACAAGCTTTTCAAATATTTTATCACCATGCTGCAAGTTGAAATAATGTCTCAGACACTATTTCCCATCCATAACCATAATGTTCACCTCAGCTTCAGCTAGTGCTTGAATGACATCTTCTAGCAACTATAGGAGTCATGTATATGGACACTTACTATTTAGTAAAGAATGCAATGTATTTTAAGCTTATTTTAAAGGTGATTTAACAGCTGGAAATCATAAGTAGCAGCATCATGCAATCCGGCAGCAAATGTTCAATCCAAGATAAGTTCATCAGAGCAAACCACGTTATACTGATACAGCACATCTGCCCTAAATGCTTCCAAGACTTTCCTTATACCAGTACATCCTAATTAGCTCTATACACATCAGTATAATACAGGAAAGAGTAACTCAAGCAAAGGTTTTACATTTAGCTGTAGTTTTTTGGTTTTTTTTTAACTGTATCAACAGCCGAGTAAAATTCATTGTTGGCTAGAGAAGAATAGAAAAGGCAACAGTAATATTAAAATGTGGCATTAGCTATGGAACTACATTCCCTGTACTATGTTTCTATGAAAGTCTATCTTTACTTCTTCTGTGAAATTATAAGAAAATCACTGTCAAAATTACATTCATCTCACCAGAAGAGATTATAATTAACTTCAGCTATATGGCATAAGGGAAACCTTCTGCATTGTTCTCACTTTTTTAAAAATATACTCTTCTGAAAGTGGAACATTGTTTCAACCTGTGATTTTCCTTAAGCAAGGGGATTAAAGTAATTGTTGGCAGCAATTAAGCAATCTTAGAAAGATGGACAATCTAAACATAGTGGTTTGGTTTTATTGGGCTTTTTTGGTTGGTTGGTTTGTTGTTTTTTTTTTACACTAACAAAAAACATACTTCATACAAAGGCTATTTACCTGTCTGGTACCCTTGGAGCAAAGCAAGATGTTGTAGAATGCACACAAAGAATATTTTCAGCACCAAGAGTCTTGATTTTAGCCTCCACTGCTTCATACAAAGGCTATTTACCTGTCTGGTACCCTTGGAGCAAAGCAAGATGTTGTAGAATGCACACAAAGAATATTTTCAGCACCAAGAGTCTTGATTTTAGCCTCCACTGCTTCAATGTCTGTCCGTAGCTCATCACCTTCCAATACATTTTCTATCACCACAGGCTCAAAACCTGACCAAAAAGAGCAAGACCTAAGTGTGTATCATCAAATCTCTGACTAATTGCAAGTTTTCAGTTCCAGTATAAATCTGAAAAAGCTTTGGCTTCTGTTGTTTAAACAGTCTTTCAAACTTGGATTAAGAACACATAAACTTTCTATTGTATAATGCCCATCTTGCTAAAACCAACAATAACAGTCCTATTTAATACTGGACTCCAGACATTAGCTTACTTTATATTCTTTGCATGCAACAATAAGAAATTTGACGATTGTTTTAAAAACAGATTAACCTCTTTCCTCCCAATTAAAAATGAAGTGTTTGCATGGCATTCTTGTAAAATATTTGCATACTAAAACAGGTGTGGCATGGCAGCAACACCACACTAGCTGGAGTGACTGCTACTTTCTTAAAAAACATCAGGTGTTCGCTTAACTGAATGAAAGTTAAGGAGAAGAGGAGGGTAAAAAGGGGAAGAGTGATTTCCAAAGCAGTGTAACATGGCAGCAACAATGTGAATTTTCCCTTTGTGGCTCAACACCATAACTTAGCAGTGATACGTAGGGCTCAAATTCTACAGAAAAACTTGTACTAGAATGATTTATTGAAATTGTTAGCCCTAGTCTGGTTTTTAGTTAGCAATCTAGAAGACAGAGATTGCATTTAATAGATAGTAGTTAGATATCTAATACCTATTTATCTCATTTTTATTTTACAATTCTTCTAATGAATTTTGTGATAGCTATCTGAGCTATTAAAAATTAACAGATCAATTGTATTTTCTCACAACATTCTCCATTATAAACGTAATCTCCTTAGTTTTGATGTTCTAAATTGAGCGTAATATTCCAAAAACAGTCCCATTTTTCTCATAGACATGTTCTATTTGTTATGATCTGATTCCCTTTAAAATCCTCTGTGTCTTACCTGGATATAATCCAGTACCTGCTTCCAACTGTTCAGTCATTTTTATCAAATTAGTCTTTTACGCAAAAACTAAATGTGTCCTAGGAACTAGGACCAGCATTTATGCCATCACCTGCAGGTAGGTGTGCACTGAGATGGAAAATTGTGCTCTCCCTTACATGCCCTTTCCTTGATCCCATGCATCTGCTGCAGGAGGGGACAGCTTCAATGCAGGGACAGACTTCTACCCTTAGCTTACTTTTAGTCTGATAAACAAGGAAATCTATTTGCGAGAAATTAAGGTTTAAACTAAGAAAAGCACCAAGCTCATTTCCTGAATGAGCTGGGTGACACCACAAGATTAAAAATAGGGCAGCTAACACTTCCCACATTCTGAATGAAAAGAATACGCATATCAGACAGCATGTCACCTTTTGATCACAATTCCTAGGACACACAGACTTTTGGCATAAATCTGAGAGAGAAATTTGAACACTGAACCTTGATTTTACGTAATTGTCAGGACAGCAAATTAGGCAACTAACTCCGACAATGAGGTGTAACTACCTTAGTATTGTGTTCTCACTGACTACTTCATATACCTCTCTATCTCAGCATATGCTTACATTTTACAAGGCACTAAGAAGACAACTCATACATGTGATTGCATGTTAGAAATCAGAAATGTAAAACAAAGCACTGAAACCTCTACACATTAGGCCTTTTTCAGATCTTACTGCAAGCATATGAATTAATGATCACTCATGTTAGGTGAAGTCTTATATCTGTCAGAAGAACACACAGCATAATCAGTCAGCTCTTTCTTACCTGCAGTTATCATTGATTTAAAGCAAGATTTCTGGTCTATACGTGGCCAGATAATGTATTTTGCCTTCGGTCTCTTGTGCCGCAATGTTAAAAAACACAGAGTTAGACTCATGCCAGTTGCCATAGGAACCACAAAGCAATTGGTCACTGTCCGGACACCTGCACACAAAAAGCAAGTCAGAAATTTACATGAAGAACCCATTACATGCACCCAGAAATAAAGAGATATTCACAGATTTACACCTACCAGCCAGCTTTATAATATCCAGAACTACTGAATTAGTAAGTTTATTCAAAAGGCTAGACCCTGCAGCTTTGGGCTGGACTGCAGAAATATCACCCGACCTTCCAATTCCATGGATCAACCTGAACAAAAGAGGTTGAAAACATACATCAAGTTGTCAGTTTTTAGTTTTGTTTTGGCTTGGTTTTTTTGCATCCCTAAGCAACAATTCTTGCTGGCAGTGATTATTAGTACCTGTAGTGCCTTCGGGCAACGAGCCCTGATGCCACCCTTCCTTCCCTCTCACCCACACCACAGTTGCCCAGGAAGTTATTGCTATCCATGATAGCAAGCTCATGAAGAAACAGTTCAATGGTGCTTTCATCCCATCCATCTTCAGGACATTTTCCCTTAATAATAACAAGATAAAGGTAACTACGAAACTCGGAAATCAAATACAAACAAAACTTTATGCAACTTGTTTGATTAACGTTACCCTTCTTTCCCATGCTGAGCATTGGTTTGTATTTTCATTATACTGTTTTATATTATCTAATGTTATTAACTTGTATTCAGAGAAAAGCTAAGTAATGATTTTTCAATACATTAATACATGCAATGCTACTTACATTAGTATATCCTGATATTAAAATATGCAATTTTTTTTAACTTTCCAGTATTAAGATACACTAAAAACCACTGGAGCCCACACATGCTAATTACTCCCTAGAAAACTATAGATTACTTGATGTATTTCCTAGGCAAGAATCTACTTCTACAGAAATTCAACCAGGAAAAGTGCATGAAAGACAGATAATTGGGTATTATAGAACCAAAGATATTCACTATGAGCAGAGGGGAAACAGTTTCACTTATGACCTATCTTCCTATCTGCATATTTTCCTTTCCAGTTATTATCTAACAGGCAAGGAAACCACTTACAGAATCTAACGTGTGCAAATCTGCAACCAGCTCTTTCTGCATTAAGAACTACACCTAATGTTTGCAAACCGCAGAAGAGCAAAGGTACCCGTAACGCCACGAAGCATTACTGCAGCAGCTCAACAGCCCAGAAACTTCTCTGGTGTGTCCGTAACAGTAAAACAACTCAGTAAAACTGATTCATCCCTGCAGTGTGGCAAGTTTGAAATAGTGGACGATGGGACTAAGGGTTTTCAAGAACTGAAATACTGAGAATTCACTGATAATTATTGTTGTATATTGGAAACGAAGAAAGACGCTGTTTTGGCAGCTTGCAAGGGTTTGGGTTTTTTTTTTACCTCGCATAACAAAATGTTAGTATCTTATTCCTTTATAGCACTCTTTGGCCGTTTGTCGGGCCCTTCTCACCAAACGCACCAGCAAAAGCTCTTTTTTACTCCTAACGTGACCTTCCAACACGGGGCTCCCCACGCGCCCGGGGGCTCCCGAACCGCCTCGCCCGGGCTGTGCCCGGCCCGGCGGAGCTCGGCG